TTATCCATCCTCCCAATTTTACAATGAAATGTATGTCCATTTCCATGGGGTTTGTGCTGAGGGACACCTTGTTTCTTTGCTCCAGGACCACTGTCATGGCAACCAGAGCCCAGTCTGAGATTTCTCCATAGAGCACTTGCACTCCCACTGCCTAGCATCCTTTCTGCTTAGCCAGGCAGTCACTGCCCATTACTCCATGACCTCAAGCTTGAGCTTTGATCAAATATAAATAAAATGCCTTGATGATAGGCATGTCTTATTTTTGTTGTTGTTGTTTTTCTGGTTTTTCAAGACGGGATTTCTCTGTGTAACAGCCTTCCATGGCTTGGAACTCATTTTGTAGACAGGCTGGCCTCAAACTCAGAGATTCACAGAGATCCCCCTGCCTCTACCTCCTGAGTGCTGGGAGTAAAGGTGTGCACCACCACTGCCCAGCTTGAGTTTCCATTTCTAAGACTTAAGAGCAGCTTTGCCTGTATACTGATGACTGTGGTGTGTGTATCATAGTTCTTACCTGTGATGTCTCCATGGAAAGACCCTTACACAGCATTTCATAAATAAAAATACTTGTGTGGGACCAATCGTGATGTTGCACACCTTTAATCCCAGCACAAGGGAGCTAGAGGAAGGCAGATCTCTGTGAGTTCAAGGCCAGCCTGGTCTACAAAGCAAAATCTAGGACAGCCAGGATTACATAGTGAAATTCTGCCTCAAAAAATGAAGATTAACTTGTAGGGCCTAAGGCTTAAATGAAAGCTGGACTCCCTGCAGGGTGAGTGTGAGTTGCAACTGTGCAAAATTTTGCCATGAATGGGAGGCATGAACAGTCCTGATGGCTGGAGTACCATATGTTAGAGGGAGAGGAAGGCTGATCTCTGAGTTTGAGGCCAGCCAGGTGTACAGAGTGAGTTCCATGACAGTCAGGGCTACACAGAGAAACCCGGTGTGGAAAAACCAACAAAAAAAAAAAAAAAAAAAAGAAAAAAAAAAAAAAAAAAAAAGGAGGGAAACTCCACTCTTTCAGAAGACTTAAGTTCAGTTACCAGTATCCACATGGGGTAGCTCCCAACCACCTGTAATTCCAGCTGCAGGAGAGATCCTACATCTCTGGCCTTGGTGGGCTTCTGCACATACCAACACACAGACAAATAAAAATAATTAAAATAGCTGGGTGGTGGTGGCGCATGTCTTTCATCCCAACACTGGGGAGGCAGAGGCAGGTAGATCTCTTGTGAATTCAAGGCCAGCCTGGTCTCCAGAGCGAGTGCCAGGATAGCCAGGGCTGTTGCACAGACATCCCCGTCTCAAAAATAAATAAATAAATAAAATAAAATAAAAAGGAAAGAAAAGAAAGTTACCAGCAAGTTACCAGGTCATGGGAAAAGGCAGCAAGGGGGTGACCATCAACCACGGAAGAGTGTGGCAAATCTTAAGAATCTTAACAAGACTGCTTGACAGCAAGCTTTCCCAAGGAGTGTGTCAAAGACAAGGGAGACTGGGAAGGACTCTAAAGGGAGAGACGAGATGACCTGAGGGAATGGAGGGTACTCATCCAGGTTAGTGATGGTTTGGAAACCAGAAGGAAAGGGTGAGGGTAGGGGAAAAGTTACTGAGAAGTGCTGGCAGTGCTGCCCATCTAGAGTGCCCACCCTCCTGGAGCAGACCTAGAACCCTGCATGCTCACTTTACCCTACACTGACCAAAGGGGCTTTGCACTGAGAAATGCTGACGTTTTAAAATAACGGGTTGAGCCGGGTGGTGGTGGTGGTGGTGGTGGTGGTGGTGCACGCCTTTAATCCCAGCACTCAGGAGGCAGAGGTAGGCGGATCTCTGTGAGTTCGAGACCAGCCTGGTCTACAAGAGTGAGTTCCAGGATAGGCTCCAAAGCCACAGAGAAACCCTGTCTCGAAAAACAAAAAACAAACAAACAAACAAACAAAAACAGGTTTATGGGTCTAGGCATGAGGTTCAGAGGTAAAGCCTAGCTTTCTTGAGATCCTGGATTCTATTTCCAGTACTGTAATAAATAATTGCTTATTGATTGTTTGATAGTGCAATGCCAAAAACAAAGAATTTCAAGACCCTGAAATAAAGGGAAAGACGCAATGTCAATACTCTGGAAGGTACTATCTAATTTACAATTTCTATGGCAACTCTGCATGAACCAGAATATGCAATTCAATGAGATAAATGCCAGCCATTCCACACGTGCAGTGCTGGGGAAGTCCTTCTCAGTAATTACTAAGCAGGGACTCCCAGCGGAGGCAGCCTGTCAAATGCTTCCTGAAGGGCAACTCATCCCATGTGCTCTAGATAAATTACAAACAAAAAGCTTTCCTAAGACACATCTGACTCTTTTTAAGCACACATGCCCACAGAATACATTCCAAACTGAATGGCAAGCATCTGGACAAGTGCTGCTTAGGTTTCCGAATGATAAATTATAAGCAACTAAGCCTGAATGTTAGTTAACATGTCAGTAACAACAGCATATGATTATAATTGTACTTGTACACAGCTAAAGGTCATCATCTTCAGGTTGGAGTTCACTGCAGCATACTTATTCCAGTAAGAACGTATGCACTTGCCGGGCAGTGGTGGCACATGCCTTTAATTTCAGCACTCTAGGACACAGAGGCAAATGGATCTACAAAGTGACACACTCTGGATGCCCAACAGTGACATGCTCCAATAACCAAGACAACCAAGTTTCAGAACCACAAACTGCCCCTGAGACATGCTTTCTCTTTTTAGATTCATTGTACAAGTAGTTTGCCTGTATGAGTATCTGTGTACCATGTGTGTACCTGGCACCTGCAGACTTCAGAAGAATGTAATATTCCCTAGACCTGGAGTCATAGGTGGGTTGGAAGCTGTCATGACTGCCATATGGGTGCTGGGAACTGAGCCCAGGTCCTCTGGAAGAGCAGCAAGTGCTCCTAACCACTGAGCAAACCCTCCAGCCAAAGACATGCTTTCTTTTACAAATCAAAATCATCACTGGTAAATTCTACCAGATATCCCAAGACCATACTCTAGGACAAGGTCAGACAAGGAGGGTACCATTTGTCTCATGTATTCCTGCTCCAAGCTCAGGTAGTAGCAGCCCCAAGGTGACCAAGAGATCATAGAAAATTATGAACTAAGCCCAGGTCTTAGCTAGAGAGTCATCTGTCCTCTAAGGACATGTTCGAAGGAGCCAGTTCAAAAGGAATTAAATACCACAGGTGGTTGCATATCTTTAACTCTAGTACTTGGGAGGCAGAGGCAGGTGGATCTCTCCGTTCAAAACCAGCCTGATCTACATAGTGAGTTCCAGGCCAGCCAGGGCTACACAGACTATGACTTTAAAAAAAAAAAAAATGCTGGGTGGTGGGGACACATGCCTTTAATCCCAGCACTTGGGAGGCAGACACAGACAGATCTCTTGAGTTTGAAGCCAGCATGATCTACAGAGCAAGTTCCAAGAGAGCCAGGATTACACAGAGAAACCCTATCTCAAAACAACAACAAAATTACTTTATGTATTTAGAGTGTGTATGTGCAAGCATGCACATATATAATAGCATGTGTATGGAAGTCAGAGTATGATTTGTTTTGATTGTGAGCCAAGCTGTTAAGGGCTGGGCCATCCTCTAGCCCTAGAGTATATAGTTTGTATGAGTTTTCTTCTTCCACTATGAGTTGCAGGGATAAAACTTAAGTCATCAGGCTTGGCAGCTACTGCCTTTACCCAGTGAACCATGTTGCTGGCTCCAGAACACTACTGTAACTGAAGCTGCACTTTATCTAGTTTGGCTCTCAAGCTACATTAACAGCAACAATATATCCACTAAAAGCCTTTCTGTGAGGAACTGGAGGGATGGATCAGCAGTTAAGAGCATGTACTGCTCTTCCAGAGGACCTGGGTTCAATGCCCAGCACCCATATGGCAGCTCACAACTGTCTGTAACTCCGGTTCCAGGGAACAAGACACCCATGCAAAACACCAATGCACATAAAATGAAAATAAATACATTTTTTAAAAAAAAACGATCATGTACTGCAGAGGAGCCAAGCTGAGCTTCCAGAATTCACACTGAGTAACTCACAACCATCTGTAACTCCAGCTCCAGGAGATCCTCAGGCTTTTGTGGGCACCTCAACACTCATGTGCACAACACATAGACTCATACAACACATACACACACATACATACATACATACATACATACACACACACACACACACACACACACACACACACACACACACACACACACACACACTGAGCAGAAAGCAGCTACTCCCTCCACCTCCCCAAACTACCGAAAGGACCAAGATAAAACCTCCTGATACTATCTTCCACCTCCCTCTGAACACAAAGTCTGACTTGAACTTTCTCATCTTCATACTTCAAAATGAAGATATCTGGGGCTGGAGAGATGGCTCAGTCAGTAAAATACTTGCCTTACAACTACAAAGAACTGAGTTTGATCCCCAGAACCTTAAATAAAACAAAACAAAAACTGGGCACAGTGGCACACACCTGCAATCCCAGTGACAGAGAGGCAGAGACAGGTGGTCCCTGGAGCTTGCTAGCAGACCAGCAAGCCTAACCTAGGTGACCAGCTCCAGGTCAATGAGAAAATCTTTTTCAAAACGAGTGAGGAACACATGTGAGGCTGACCTGTGAGCTCCGATCTCGGTATACACAAGAGAAAGAGCACCTACAGACACACTGCACCTGTACACATAAGCTCACACATGTATACACACATGCACAAAAGCTTGACTTATTAAAATGTGAAAATGTTCCATAAATGACAATGTGCAAATAAAACAATTTTCCTACCATTTTTTTTTTTTTAATGACCTGGGAGGGTATCTCTGTGGTAGAGTCCTTGTCTAACACATGCAAGGCCATGGGTGTCACTTAATATACACTACATTATTACCAGTAATAAAAAGCAAAATCACCTCAGATTAACAATTCTGCTCCCCTTCTTTAAAATACACAGGTTGCTTTGGCACCACATATACTGAAATTGTAACAATAACAAGAGAATTACCATGGCCCCTGTGCAAGGATAACATGCAAATTCATGAAATGCTCCATATTTTTTTGTGGTCGAGATGTAAATCAAAACAAAAAAATAGAGAGTAAGTAGCAAGGAAACATTCCACGTTTATATGTAAGCAAGTACTTGAATGAAAAGCAACTGATCACACAAAACCATTTTACATCAGGTAGCTGCAAAACAACCGACAATTATAAAGTAAAGGCACTGAGTGGTATAAGGGTAGAAAGTGAATCAAAACCAGTTTGAATTACCAAACATTTCCCCCTACAACACACAATATCAGGGAACTAGCCTAAAAATGGCTAGTTCTGCTGACTCCTGGAAAACTTGAGTAAAAATGAGGTTCCCCTCTACAGGTAGTAGAAGTCAAAAAGAACCAAGGAGCTGGCATACTGGCATACACCTTTAATCCCAGCACTTGGAGAGCCGAGGCAGGTGAATACCTGAGTTCCAGGCCAGCTTGATCTACAAAGTGTTCCAGGACAGCCAGGGCTACATAGACATCCTATCTCAAAACCAGGAACCTCAAGAACCTGTTGACCTTTCCTGGGGAGAGGCCAGCAGCCACCCACCGGAGCCCCACTTACTCATCGCCGTCGGGACACAGGCCGGTGGCCTCATCGTACTTGGAGCAGTACACGTCCGGGCTGTAGTTGAAGGTGCCATCCCGACGTCGGAGCGGTCTGCGCCGACGCTGATTTAGGAAATGCCAATGGAAACAGGTGAACGGCCTGTGCTGGCTGCACTTATGCTGCAAAAACAGGGAGCACTGCTCTGTCCTAAACTCCTTTAGATACCTAAAAAGACAAACAGGGTTGCGGGCCGCGGCCGCCCTCGGCTGGAGGCGCCTGGGACGCGGCGAGGCAGGGTCCCAGACCCGAAGCCCCCCACACCGAGTCCATCTGATTTACACCCTCCCCTTTCCGCAGGCACAGTTCCTGGACCCCAGGCGACACCCCCCAACTCAGAGACAGGTAACTCCAAATAGACTCTCCGTCGCCTGATCCCAAATACCACTCCCCAGTCCCCAGATAAGGTTCCCCAAATCGAGGCGCACACCTCCTCCCAGCGTGCCACCCCCAAGACCGATCCCAGATAACTCTACACAACTAGACTCCATTCTCCGCCCCCTTCAACACAGTCCCTGACCCCAGGCGCCACCTCTCGATCCTCAGACCCGGTCTCTCGACTCCCGCGCAACTCCCTTCTCGGGTTCCAGATGGACTGACTGCAAGCTCCACCCGCCCACACCAAGCGCAACCCCTTTTCTGCACCGCACAAACGACCCCCAGGCTCACAGCCCAGGCGTTCACC